ATGTGGGGGCGTGTTTAAACGAGGTGTTTTAGGTAGGCGTGGTTGACTCTTAACTTTTATAAAGAATATCTCTTTGGATTTGAGACTTTAGTCTTTGCAACTTTACAGATCTTCTTTATGAACCAAGAGCTTGTAACATTCCAAAGAGAAAGGAAAAACTGAAATCGCATCATATGACCCCTTTAACAATAAACATGGTTTCAGTTGATTGAGGAAGTTTTTGTGGAATGTACATGACATTACGTGATGACAAAAGTTAATTTGCACTCACAAATTTCCCTGTCAGGTGACTTTCCATTCCTTATCATCATGAGAGAAATGACCTCTTAGGACATCAAATGACTTTTTTCCCTTTTAAATGAAATATATCACATAATTTTACCACAAGAAATGTCCCTATAGTTCCTAATAATTTCCCCCCTCTTCCTCTCATTGAAAAACATTTGCATATATACTAAACAAAGTGGATAGTACATTTATTCACATACTATACTAATATATCATCGATTTGAGTTTACTTTTCATTTCAAAGAATCAAAATATGACTTCAAATACATATTTTGTCTTAAATATTATCTTTTTTTTTTCAGTGCCAGTCCTTTTCCTAGACGTCAGATGATTATGTAATTTCCACAGAGAAGTCTGAACCCTTCAAGGACTTTCTATTCTTTCTTTTTTTAAATGATATCTTTATGGGTAATGATACAACATAAGTTAGTTCTACATACATAAATATTCTTGTCTAAGATTGCAGCTGATACATACATTTACTTACTTTCACACTTATTTATTTCCGCAGAAATAAATAGGCTTGATGCTAAGCTTATTTTGTTCTTTTTCTTAGAATCTACTTTCTATAACTGCTATCAACAAGATAATATGTAATTTCTCAGTTGAGCTCAGATTTTCAGCTCTTCTTATTTGATAAAACAGTCAACAGCGACATCTCGCGGCCGATGACAGTAATGAACGAAATGACTGCCCGGTTGCCATAGAGACATCGAAACACAACATCACCATTCCGCAAGTCATAATGCGGTCAACTGAGGAGAAAACTGTACTCTTATGTGCTTTAGATGATGATGTACAGGGACTTAAGAGTATTTTGGAAAGCAAGAGTGCCAACGAATCTCAGCAATCGGAGAATATTCTGTGGGAAAAAGATGAGGTGGGAAGAAATGCGCTGTTTGCTGCGTGTACTTTTGGTCGGAGCGGCATCGTGCGCGAACTCGTACAGAACGGCGCTGACGTCAATGAACTCACAGCGCGCGGTAATTAGCGAGCAAAGTTACTTGTAGGCCTAATTAAAAAATACTTATAACGTACCCACTTTAACACCTACAGTAAAAGTTTTTGTAGATGAAAACTAAAGCCTGAACTGGTTTGCTGGTCTGAGCTGATTTAACCCTATTGTTGTGGTCACACTTGTTATCCATCCAAACAGACCGAGGAAGCCTAACATATTTTAATAAAATACGTGTACTATATTTTGTTTCAATTACATTGTTTCTTATTTACCTCTGAATTGTGCACTATTTGTTTCTATATAGCCTAAAATACAATTATTGGAAAATTTCATATAGCTACCAAGTTCGCCAAATGTTTTTGGACTAAAATGTCAGAGGACCACCAAAGGGTTAACAGTTTGACAATAAATAATCAATATGGTTCACTCTTACTCTAGGCTACTCACCGTTGCATTATTCTGCCATGTGGGGTCAGCTGGACACTTTAAAAACTTTGGTTGAACTCAATGCTGATTTTCAAGCTGTCAGTTTCCGTGGAGAGAAGGCTGTTGATGTGGCCCGGCGTTATGACAAACTGGACTGCGCAGAGTATCTGGCATGGGCTGGTGAGAAAGTGAAACATTTCAGCACAGAGTCAAATCTTGTTATGATTAAGGCAGATGATGATTTTTTTCTCTCCTGACAGAGGCCAAACAAAGTTTGCAAGCATTAATACAAGATGTCAGAGATATTATAGCTGATCCAGAGAAAGTTCAAGGGAAGCTCAATAAAGAGGACAAGGTAAAAAATTATTTATTAATTCCTTAGTGAAAAGTTGCCGATTGTATTTTTAACATTCTTAACAAACCCAAAAGTACACATTCTCTTCTCATTGTTTGTGTGTTGCTATATAGACCATGTTTATAAACATCTGTTCTGCAAAATCTGACTGGATACACAACACCAAAAATGCAACAATTCAAGACTTCATTGAACAGAAGAAGCACCTTGAAGACATACTGGAACCTATTCTGCTCAAGCTTAACACACAATGTGAGAACTGATCTATCTGATTTATCCGATTTGCATAGAAGCTGACAACTGGGTATTTTACTTAATTCAGTATCAATCAATGCAAAATTAATGTATACTTTTTCATTTAACCCAGGGCATTTCTACCCAAAAAATATATATTTGTGCTTTTTTTTTTTTTTATTCCCTAAATGAAGTTTTGTGTTTCTTATTTATTCACAGCTGAAGCCACAATGAAGACAAGAAAGCCTTAGAAGCATTTTGTCATTCAAATTAAAATAAATATATTTACAAAAATTGGTTACATTTACTTAATACATGCTCTGTGTTTAGTCTTTTCAAATATAAAAAATTAGACCCTTAGATGAACACTATGATTCCTGACATGAAATTGCAACAATTTTATTTTGATTTTTTATTTTTTTTTATATTGAAAACGTACTTTTATTTGTTGTTTAACTGCACTTAATTTAGAACATGCACATGCACATGCACTTTGAATTATTTACTAATAAAGATAATTAAGTTTATATAAACACTCAAAAATTATTGTGACAAATTAATACGTTTACAAGTCTAAAAGCAGAGTTGGCTGATGTTCTTGTGATGCGCTTAATGAACACTAGGTGGCGACAGAGGGCACCTTTCGTGTTCAGCTAAATTATCTCTCAATATCTATCAAATTAAATACATGTATTTTTCATTAAGGTTATGTCTACAAAATATGTTATTCAATAACTAAATGCAGCGCATATAAAAGTCGAATCAAATTAAATACATTTTTATGACATTTTTGCACGAGGTTAACCAGCAGATGTCTCACTCGATAATCAGTTCACATCGGTCTTACTATGTCGATCAATGTTGGCAAAGTCTCAAATCGTCCTCATTTCACATTCAACAAACACATTATGTAGCCTATTTCTAAAATGTTAACTGAATTTTAATCGATGTGTAAATGTAGTGAAAGCTGCCTGAATCGATTTAAAACGTAAATGTGTGTTGATCGAGTCACTCGGCCATCCTCTAGTTTTCCCTGAATCCCTGCGCACAGGCTGGCAGTGGCATGTGATTGAGGTGGAAAAGCGGTCTGGATTTTGAAGTGTGAAAAGGTCTGTCTGTCCTCACCACAGGACCGGGAGGAAGGGAGGGAGGCAGGCCCAAACAACGAGTCACACTTAAAGTGGACGACAGAACAATAAACGGATACTTGCTGTTATTTTGATGATTTTTGCCGCATGGACAATGCAGTAAACTCCTTCCCTCGATCCAGGAAGACCGACGCCTGGATTCATTCAATTATTACTGCTGTTTCCATCTTGACTCATGGACACAGACAAGAAACAGCAGTCCATCCGAATATTACTTCAAGAACTGCTGCTTGTTGCTACTGTTTTAACTTTTGGCTGCTGGTTCTGTTTAAGAAAACTAGGGTGATCTGAAACTTTGCACATTCGTATTTTTAGGGTTTGATAAGTGTTTAAATACACTTTCGACGCTTTTTTATATCCGTATTTCCTTATTTTATTGTATTTTATTGACGACTAGGTAGCTACAGTGCCCAGTAATGTAAACATAGATTAGAGTCGCGCGTACATCATTTATATTCCAACTGTGAAACAAAGAAAAATATGGGAAACTCCAAACGTTTAGTTTGAACATTGTCATACTACTGTCGCTAGTTTATCCGGCTTTATTTAAACTCTTTTTAGCTGTATGGTTTGATACTAAACCAACGGAAAACATTGTGACTGAGGCTCTCCTGCCACGCGCGTGGAAATCCACCGGACTGGAGTCTTCACCTGGACGTTACCGTGGAGGTGTATCGAGCATGGAGACGGATTCAGTAACCGGTGGCGACGTGGACTCGGTTCAGGGAGGCATGATTTCTTTAGACCCTGTGGTCGATGGGATTTTGATGGACTCGTTTTGCCAGCAGCAGGGATGGGTGCGTGTGTACGGTAAGTGATAATCAGTGGCCGCGCTGGCTTCAGATCAGTTCACCTTAACACCTCGGTGATATAAATCACAAAAGAGGTGTTTTAAATATAATTATGTGCTTAAATACATTAAATAACCAACTGATTTGGGGTTTTATTTTCGATCACCCTTTAATACCGAGGGGAATTCAGTCTTATGTTTACTGAAGCATTGTCAGACAGGTCTGTATATGGCAAGCCGTTTTAACATTTAGCCTGTTTCTTATCAGGGAAATTTCTAGCGTTTCATGAGCCCCCAGCCCCCCACCCCCCAATAAGTAGCCCAATATTTAGATTTTATTGAAATACTGTTATGGATATATTTATATCAATTTATATGAATAAAAACAGAATCAAGCTACCCACACACAATAAGATGCTTCATCGCTGACAAACGAAAGAAGACATTGCACATTTTGTTTCCTAGAGTGGATTTTAGGTAAATGTCCATATCAATCAGCGCTCCGTTTTTATTATTATAAAATATATTTTTATGAGATTAGATCAACAGAGTGATACATTTTTGAATCTGGCATGACTAGTTCTGATTATAAACTGCTAAAACACACAACATGCTGATATATTTTCAGGGAAAATGATTCTCGGGTCGGTCTTGGAACACAGTTGTCTTTCACTGGTTCTTGTTCCTCAGTTAAAAGGGTTTAGCGATGCCCCATTCCTTGTAACTAGCGTTTTTTTCCACTAAGGTAACTGTTCATTATGTGCCAGTAGTGAATACTTGTTTATTTAGTCAGTATTACTTGAATATTATTAATAATTCTTCTTCTTCTACCAGTCGTTCCCAATACTAGTAACTTGCTTTGCAGTTTAAATATATAGGGGTCTGTTGATCAGATATCAACTATTAATTTTAAACTCAAATTTATACAAATTGCTAGTTTCGTATTCCATTTCTTTCTATTACTGTTGTTTATTCCTTAGTTTCTTGTAGCTATTCAAATAATCATTACTGGTATATATTCAAGTTCTTTTTAGTAATAATTAGCAACATATCCTAGCTGTAATTTAACAATTGCTTTATGAGCCACAGATCTACAGAACCGTTATTAGTTGAGCAAATACTAGTCACTGTTGGCGTATTTACTGGTAATTAAAAAGAAGTATGAATAACATTAAATTAGCTGCTGGTTAGTTGTATGGGATATTAAAATGAAACGTTAAAGTGGCTTGCCATAGTACCACAGCTCTAATAGAAACATGTTGGCTTAATGGTTCATTTTCCTTCCTGTGTGTGACTTATGCTGTACATTTTCAACTTAAAAAGATACTAGGTTAAGTCATATGTCCTTATACATTATACAGTGTGTCTGATGGTATCATGGTACAATACATTTTGTGCCTTTAGTGTGCTTGCTTTAACTGTAGTGTAATTTGTAAAGAAACAATGGCATGAATATATGATAGATTCCAATGTGTGCATTATGATTTGTGGTTAAGGGAAGGGCTGTGTGGAAAATCCTGGTTACACATAATAGGTTTGAATGTTGATCTGGTTGTGGATGATTATGTCTCCTAGTTGTAATAGGAGATGGGGTGCAATAGAAAAGGTTTTAGCACATTGATGACAAACATGAAAATGTGTTCTTGTCACGGTTTCAATTAGAGTTTTAATAGGGGTTGTTAGTTTGTTAATGCACATGCACAATTTAAATTTTTGATTTACAAGACAAGTAATAGTAAGCCATGGTTACTGATTGTGTTTCCAGATCTGTGTTGTTAAATAAAGCTTCTTTAAGTCTGTGTGCACCCTATAGACATGTTGCCAGGGGCTGTTGTCATGGCAGCCTGTTGTCTTTTTATTTAAGGATGTAAGTCGAAACCAGGGACTTCACATTAAAGACAGGACATCCAGTTCTGTCCACCCACTGCCACTGACTCTTCATCTCATTTTCCATCCCCACTAATTCAGAGCTGGACCAACTAAAATCAAGTTCTAAAATTTATAATATAGATCAGCCACCAAATTAAAGGTTAAGATCCCTTAAAAATAAAAAAGTGTCATAATTTACTCTCAACCTCATGTCATTCCAAATCCATATTATTTTCTTTCTTCTGTGGAGCACAAGGAAAAATTAAGAAATTTTACAAGATCTTTTTTTTTCTGTGCACTTAAAATGAATGGGAACTGAAGTTTCAAGCTTTAAAAAAGTACACAAAAGCAGCATAAATGTATAAGAAAATTGGTCCATTTGACTTGTGGACATATTCTATGTTTTCTGAAATCATATGATGGATAATCTTGATGTGCTCTGTAGCTCATTTTCATAAGTAGCAATTCCTGATTTGTTCAAGAGAGACAAATCTTGAAATGGTAATCAAGTTCACAAAACATGTCTAGATTTTGAATCAGACTGACTCAATGAGTGAACTCACTGGATATAATGAATAATGAACAGTCAATGAATAGTCAAGCTATTTTATGATTTCATACAACTTGGAATATAGTCATACAGGCAATCGCTATGATACTTTTATAGCATTTGGAAATCAGCGACCATCACGGTCTTTCGAATAACTCCTTTTGTGTTCCACGGAACAAATAGTCATTCGGTTTTGGAACGACATGAGGATGAGTAAACTATGACACAATTCTCATTTTGGGTAAACTATCCCTTTGTTTTGAAATACAGAGCAGTCTAATCTTATTTTCCAGGCCCGCACTGGGAAAAAGTTCAAATCCAGATGATGTGTTGTAATGTGTAAAGAATTCACGTTTTCTCTGTTCATGTGCTGTCCAACACCCTATGACATAATTTTCATTTCTTTGGTATTTGTCTTTAAATCGCTCCCACTGGTGTAAGCTCAAACTCCCAGCGAGACAGAAGTGAGTCATTACTGACAGTCAGAGAGCAGTCAGACCTCTCACATTAAAGCTGGCCTCAGCATGGATGTCATATCATCCATAATTGATACCACGGCAGCTACATGCTCATCATGTTAAACATCCCTTCCTCAGATAGAGGGAAGTGAATCACAGTTTTAAAATAATTAGCAGTGCATGGGGCTTTAGTTTTGGTGTTGTTCATTCAGTGACTTGTTATTAGGAAGTCTAATAGTAATAAGTCACTGAGTGACACTAATAACATAACTGTTCTGTTATAGTTCATGTTCCTCTCACACAGGCTTATTCGAGGTCCAATTGTGTTCAGTAAATGGTGTGTATGTGCTTTAAATGTGGGGTTTGTATTACAGTAGGCGGCCTATTCTGTGCACTTTTTGGGTTTGTTGTTGCCTGGAGTTAAATTTTGGAAATATATAAATGCTTTCTGCAGTAGTTTACACAAAGCTCGGGGTTGGCGGGTGTGTAGGCAGGTCAGATTTGGCATCTGTTTGAGCCTGCTGGTTCAAAAAGTTTGCCTACATTCACCGAGCTTCTTACATCATGCTCCTCATATTGAAATGGAAAGGTCCGGGACGGTTCTGCCATGGTGGATGAAAGTGAATGCTGTCGAATGTTTGTGAAGTTGCTGCTTAGATGTGTTTAATCTTGTAGAGGAAGCCGAGAGAGGGTGGGGAGGGGTGGGAGTGAATGGTGGGATTGTGTTAGCGGCGGACGGCTCAGGATGTGCACCCCGCTGCACCACCTCCCCTCCGCCCAGCGTGAGCTGTTCGTTCATTCGTTCATTGTAGCTGTCAGCAGACAGGGCCGGGACTATGATGTAAGCAGACCGTTCCGAGAATGACCTCAGTGGACTGGATTCCAAAATTCCTGAGCAACCGGCACCAGTGCGTTCATCATGGCATTCCAGAGCTGAAATAGCTCAATAAGGATGCTGGCCGGCTTCTCTCCCACTCACTTCCCTTATGTATCTGTTAAGAATAATGTTTTCCATGCCAGCTTGTCTATTTGTGGATTTATTTTGGCCACGGCTGTTCTTCTCAGCGGTGGTTACAAAACATTTCCGTGTGGACTTTCAATCAGAGAGCAGAGCTGCTTCACACTTTATTTTAAGATCCAATTCTCACTATTAACAGACTGTTAACTATGACTTTTGCCTCAGTAAACTCTTAATTTGTTGCTTATTAATAGTTAGTAAGATAGTTGTTTGGTTTAGGTGTTGGGTAGGGTTAGGGATGTAGAATATGGTCATGCAGAATATGTTCTTTATAAGTACTAATAAACAGCCAATATGCTAGTAATATGCATGTTAATAAGAGCGGTGGTTACAAAACATTTCCGTGTGGACTTTCAATCAGAGAGCAGAGCTGCTTCACACTTTATTTTAAGATCCAATTCTCACTATTAACAGACTGTTAACTATGACTTTTGCCTCAGTAAACTCTTAATTTGTTGCTTATTAATAGTTAGTAAGATAGTTGTTTGGTTTAGGTGTTGGGTAGGGTTAGGGATGTAGAATATGGTCATGCAGAATATGTTCTTTATAAGTACTAATAAACAGCCAATATGCTAGTAATATGCATGCTAATAACAGGGCTCCAGACTCATTCTTCCCACTGGTCGCTCGTTTGCGACTAACTTTCTCAGTTGGTAGCATGAGCACATGTTGTTTTTTTTGTTTTTTTTGCTACAACATGTGATTAATCAATGCATGCTGATGAACTGTTATCATAGTTTATAGTTATATGGAAACGAAAGTGGTTAACATTCAACCTGTTCTTTTTCATCAGTAGTAGTATTAATTTATTTGTGATTTGAATTTTGTGAACGGGAGTTCCTCTTTGGCTGTGTTTTAAGCCGGGCTTCAGATGTTTTCACTTTTGAATTCGTGATCTTGTCACGTTTTACAAGAAAAGATAATTGTGTGTTTTGCTTACATCTATACACCTTTCACTTTTTAAGACTAAAACAAAAGATTTTTGTTATTTTTAATTAAAGAGCACAACAACAATAAAACGATAAGATGCAATGACAAACTAGCTTATAAAACGTTTATTAACAAAAACGAATAAGATGAGGCATGGCATACACCACATGCTGTATTATATACTGACTAATAAAT